TAGGGTGGGTGGCGCAAAAAATTTTGAATGGCATGCCAATGGCATGCCATTAATATTTTTTGGTACATGGCATGCCATGTGGTGCACCATTTATATAATTATTAATAAATTTTAACTTTAAATAATAATTTATATATAAATTATAATAAAATAAATATTAGTAAAATATTATATCTTTAAAGTAACTATTAGTAAGTAAATTAGAATCAAATTTATAATATTTAATATTTAATAAGTATAATCTCTAAATAAAATATTTTTATTTGAGATCTTTTAGAATATTAATTGAGCTAATTAGATAAAAGTTTTTACTTGAGTTGATTTATCAATTTATTTAAATAATCTTCAGGTTTAACTTGTAGATTACAAGTTAAATTTTTAGATATATCCAATTAGGGATTGGAACCGCCTAAAATTTTTCATAATCGTTTAACTATTTAACTGTTTAATTTGGCCAGTATTAAAATAATTCCGGCCCATGACCAACATAATTCTGCTCAGAGCAATTTTTAAATGGTTAAACGGTTCCAATCTCTATATCCAATCATTAATTATAATACTAAGTTTTTACTTTTATTAATAAAAAATAAATAACAAATAATAGTTTTATAAATTGTACCAATAGCATTTAACTCTATAGTCGCTATATCTTAAAACTAAAATAAATAATATCTTGTGTTCTAAATAAAAATATTTAGCACTTTTAAAACCTTATTTTATTTTATATTTAAATACTTACCTTTAATATAAAATTCTAACTTTAAATCTTATTGATTAAACTATTTAAAATATATAGCATTAAATATTATTATTAGTACGTATAATTTAATAAAAAATAATATATATTGATTAGTTATACAATACTACACATTGAATGAAGGCAAATCAGGCCCCAACTAGCATCACGTAATCCCGATATGAACCTGATTTGAAACAGATATTTGGCAGAAATAGGAGACCTTTAAGATACAAATTGGGTTCATATAGGCAATCAATGTGATAGCTTTATAGATAAATCGAAAAGCTATAAGGCAAACTTTATCAATTTACCTATAGAGCTATCGGCATTCCGATATGTATTGATTGCCTATATAAACCAGATTTGTATCTTAAAGGTCTCCTATTTCTGCCAAATATCTGTTTCAAATCAGGTTCACATTGGGATTACGTGATGCCCGATTTGCCTTTATTCAACTTGTGCTAGGCAATGAATAATAGTAATTCAGCAAATGAACATATGCTGCTCTGTGCTAAATTACTATATTCGATAGTATTAGTGTTATCTAGCAATTTATGATCATGATTCATAGAGAGAATTTTAATTTGAATAAGCATATTTACATTATAATATGTGAAAAAATAATTAGAAGAGATAATTTCATGATCATATAACACAGGTCGAAATAAAGCAAATCGGGTTCAAATCAGTATCACAATATCCTAATATGAACCCGATTTGAAACAGATATTTGGCACAAATAAGATACCTACAGGAATCCTGTAGATATCTTATTTGCGCCAAATATCTGTTTCAAATCGGGTTCATATTAGGATATTGTGATGCCGATTTGAACCCAATTTGCCTTATTTCGACCTGTGTAAGTTTGCCGGATAATAATGTTTATATAAATTAAAAATTATAACGTACCATATATATTTATTAAATATTATGTTTATTTAAAATTTCTTCTAGAGTCCATTGACTTGTAATTTCAGCTTTAGTTATATTTTCTTTGTTAATTGATTCTAGTGTTAACTCTTCGACATTAAAATTAACAAGTTGTTCTAAAAATAAATCTGATGAATTTTCAAATTCTGTATAAATTTCTTGAAGTTCACTTTCCCATTCGATATCATCATTAGTATCGGAACTTGAGGTAAATAATGTATCATAGTCTTCTAATTCTACAAAATTTGTATCTTCATTAGTATTGTTTGATACTTGATTATTTTCAACTTTTTTAGGAGCTTCTACTGCTAAAGCAGATTTTATTTGTGAAATTATTTTTAATGTTGGAGTAGTTAGTCGGTTTCGAGATTTTGTTTTTGTTAAACCCATGGATGAAAATAGCTGTTCAACTCCAGCAGCATGAGGACGAATTGCAAATATTTTTAGTGCTAAAGTTTTTAATGCTTCAGCTCCATAAGAAAGACGCTTCCAATATAATCGTGGTTCTAAAGTTAAAACTGAATTATATGGTGGTTCATTATTAAAATAATTGTTTAATTGTTCTGAAATTTGGTTAGCTTGTTCTCTTGTAAAGTTCCATTTTTGAGCGAATGTTAAAGCATAAATTAACATATTATCAAGAGATAGTTTTTTAGATACAGCTATTTTACGAAATTTTGGATGCAAAAAAAAGCTTAAATAGTATATTGGTTCATCAAATTCTTTTGCTCTAATATTAATAATATTTTTTGCATGCTCGATAAATTCTTGATCAATATCACTATTTTCGCTCATTTTTAGCTTTTTATATACTTTATATAATTCTGCAAAAACATCACCAACTGTTGTATTACGTGATTCAAGTTTTCCAATTGCATCGACTATATATCTAAGAATTATTGTTAATTGCTCATTCTCTAAAAAGTGACGTCGACTTGTAACTATTTCTTTAATCTTAATTGGAATAATGGGACATTCATTAGAGTTATTAATATAATCGAGACAAGCTTTAAAGCCTTTTTCATAATTTTGAACAGAAAGACAAACTTTAGAAAAAGAAAACCATCGGGTTTCACAAAATGTTTGTAAGCTGTGTGTAATATTATTATCTATAGCCCATTGTTTTAATTTTGCATTCCAATAAGTAGAGCCTTTAAAAAAATTTACTAACATTAAATTTTTTTTAATTAAGTTTTTATAAGGCTCATATGATAAAATTCCTTTTGCAATAAGATTAAAGACGTGTAAACAACATCGAATGCTGATTATATGCTTATATTTTTCTGAGATATTTTTTCGAAGTCGTACCATAACTGAAGGACTATCTGTAACTAATGCAATAATTTTGTTAAAATCTAAGTTTATATTTTTTAATGAAGTTTCAATAGCTATTAATAAATTATTTGCTGTATGTCGAGTAATTGAAAAGTCTTCAATATTAATAACTTCATTAACATTTTCAAATTTGTGCAAAAGAAATGCATATATAGAATTTCCTGATACATCGGTCCAACCATCAAGAGAAAGAGTTAAATCATTAGATTCTTCAAGGCGGTCAACCATTTCTAATAATACTCTTGCATATTCTGCTTGCATTATTCTATGTGTTAATATATATCTCGAAGGTAAATTATAACTTGAGTATAATTTTTTTAAAAATAAAGCAAAAAATGGATTTTCAACAAATCGAAATGGAACATTACTATAGATTAATGATTGTAATAATAAAGTATGAAGCTCATTAATTTTATCTGGTGAAATTGAAGCCTTGTTGAAAAAGTCTGTCAAGGTAGCTTTACGTTTTTTTGAAGATATATCTATATCTTCATCCGGGTAAGACTTGGATATATTTTCAGGATTTTTTTTATTAATTTTTCGTATATAAAGTATTTTATCATCAGCTAATATTTTTTGACAGATATTTGTTATATGACTTATCATTGCTTCTTTTCGTGCTTCAAATACCTTGTTACAATATGAACACTTGGCATTATATCGACGTGATTTGGTATTTTTAACTTGCTTTGAACGTAAAAAACCTGTCCAATGAGTACCAAAATTATTAGGTGGAGTTATAAATTCATCGTCTTCTGAATCATCCTGCGCACCCGTAGCACTTGATGAAGTTACAATATCATCAGAGTCTATGATAGTATTAAAAGTATTAATCGAAGTTGTAAAATCTTCATCAGAATCCATAGTATTAGATTTTTTTTTGATAATTTATGTTTAAAAATATTAAATGGAAACTGAGTTAAGTAGCTTTATATAGTTTTGATAATTAAAAAAAAGGTAAGGCTAAGAATATTATAAAACGTATTTTGAAAATACAAATATTACTGACATTAAAGGTTATTAGTCACTGAAACAGACTAAAGCCTAGCATTAAGATTTACGACAAAAATAGTCTAAATTATTAACTTTCAATTTAAACTACTATTTACAATATTTTACCAACCAATTTGTTTAATAAATCAATAAATCGAAAAGCAATCTAAATAATGAAAAAAACTTAATACAGGTAGCTCCCAAATTAATATTATTGTAAGAGAATAAATAATTAAAATATAAAAGTATGAAACCGCATAGAAGCAATTATATTATAGAGTTAAATACTGCATAGGTTTCACTCTATCATATTAAAATTTAATAAATTCTCTGGGTATCATATGCAAATATAATAAATTTATCCAAACATGATAATAATGCAGAATAAGGCTATTTGGCCAATTTATTATTGATAGAATCTCGCCAATTCTGCAGAATCCTTCATACTTAGTACTGGCTTTTTGCAGGAAAATAAAATACATAGAGCGATTGTGTTATGCAATCTGGGGCATTGCATAACTGATTCCCTTTCACATGTATTGTATTATACCAAATTTACTAAATTGTCTAATTTACACTTTTTTGGCCATTTCTATTTATGTATAAAAGTGTTCTGTATGTTGTAAAAGTTCAAGCTGCGTCAGAATAGTCGCTGGGTTGATATCGAATAACTCATTATGCACTAATACTATCACTCTTATAACTACAATAACCCAACCCTAATGTAGTAATGAAGACTTGGTCCAAGTAATCAGGGTTAGGGAAGGTTATAGAAATAGTGCCATTATAGATAAGTATCCTTTAGTTGTCCCTTTAGTCCTTATGTTGGTTTTAGGTCACTTTACTAACTCTATTTGGCTCTTCTTAGTAATACCACTACGATCGTGAACTTGGTTCACAGTATCACAGTTTTAGAATTAAACCTGTGACTTAGAGGTAACTTGGTAGTACTAAACGATCAAATGACCAGAGCCACAGGAATATTAGGTGGCAAGGGGAGGCTTAGTGGCATAGGTCTAGTCTGGTTGTTTGTTTATCCAAACATACAATAAATAGTAGATAAAGTAATCGTATAAATCGTACGATAGATGAAGGAGGCTGATAGATTGCGAGCAGAATGACGCGCAAAATGCTAGCAAAGATGAAGCCGCATGTGAATAATATTTGGTGACTATTTAACACAACCCGAAGACTGATTACTGCGAAGGTAAGGGTAAGATATAAATAGCACAGTAACTCTTAATAAAGTAAAAGGTTTTAAAGCCTGAGTTTTTGGCTTTGGGAAGTTTCCTCAGACAGTGTCTCAGAAGAACCTTCAATGTCTTCGAGTTTATATTAAGAATCGAATTCTCACATGTGAGTATTAGTTTAGTAATTTAGATTTATCGTTTTATTATTGTAATCTTATTTTGTTATTATTGTTATATAATAAATTACCCCCCCCAAATAATTGAAGATTGATCTATTAAGTGATAACCACGACTCAGTTTAAGAGTTTCGTGACATCATATCACGTATACAAGTATTATAAATCCCGATATAAGTGAACCATCGGAGCTAAATTGGATTAACAACCGCAATTGCTTTCCCAACCGATGGTCACAACAGTGTAATCACGGGTTACAATCCTGATCAGTTACAGGTACCGATTTTTTAATATAGTGAGGTAATCACTACTTTAATCAGGGGCAAAATTACATATAAGAGGATCTGCTTATTAATCGATACTCTTTCTTATTCTGGTTCAAAACTCTATAGAGTACGTATATGATAATCAGACAAGATTTACAAGACGAACGATTTTAACAACTTGGGGATGATGTAATTTAATGGATTTTTACTTATAAACAACACTTCTACTCTAATTTCGAAGGCTTTTACTTTTAGAACTCCACGAGTTATGTTTTATTTCTGGAGAAAGTCTCCATTTTATAATAGTTTTTAACATATACAGGAATAACGCGAATTCTAGCTATTCTAACTTTCTAATTTTTCTAGCTTTTCTTATTATTCTCGCTATTCTCACTTTTTCTACTTTTTTTTGAATTACCCGTATTCCAGGAATTCTAGGAATTCCGGGAATTTGTACTACCTTTTTAGAAAGGACGACCCTGCCTTTTACAATGTACGACTGATATGTTTCGGTATGTATGATTAATCAAGTTTTGAAATATCGCCTAATTTAGACACTTTTTCGGTCATTTTCTATTTACGTACGTACATAAAACAGCTACTTATAATTTTTAATATTTGATTAATTAAGATATTTTATTTATATGTTCTCGAGATATCAACATTATTTGATGATGCATTTATTGTAAGTAGATGAATAGCAAACTGATATCTCAATGGTAAACAAATATTTTTGATAATTTTGAGTTAAATGAATGCACTGAATTGTAGCATTTATATAACACAAATTCTTTGAAAACAATTTAGCTTGCCTCGAATTACAGAAAAAATCTGAATATTTTTAGTGCATATGCTTTAGTTATTTAATAAAGTTATCAATTTAACATAAATAGAATTAATAAGCATTATAACAATATTGCAATACGGAATTATAAAAACAGCATAACAGCGATGCATATTACTGTAATATAGTTTACTGTAAGAATTTACAGTTTTTACAACATTCAAGCAATTAATTATGACATATGCTATAACGTAGCAATTCAAAAATAACAACAATATATGCATAAATAAATAAAAGTTTCGAATATGTATAATAACTTACGGTTACAATATTAAGCTATTATAATTTTAAATTTTCAGAACATTAAATATAATTTACTGGTTCATCCGTTCCTGATTTTGGTGCACACATATTGCGCAGCCACTTTATTTAGCTTTAACCAATCGATTATTGTTTATTTTAGTGTTATAATCGAGAACGCAGTTGCATAACTTATATAATTTTATTGTATATTTGTTTGATATATTATTGCTAATCAGAAAATTATACAATGTTATCTCGATTATAATAACTCTAGAACTTTTTTTTAATATTATAGTACATAAAAAATTAAGCCAATGCATTGAAACTAAGCTTTATTGTGATTGGCTCGCCATCCTTGCGCCATGCCCAATTTGGCATGCCATGGCAC